TTTTTTAAAGAATAAACATTAATCTTGTCTGTAAATGAAATAATGTAAATAAAATTTTTGAAAACATGGTTTAACTTCATCAAATTTATAATAAAGCATGCATTATTACGAATCATTCACCTTTTGAAGATATGAAGATATTTTCCTGTGAAAGGGGGGGGGGGTAATAAAACATGCATAACATTCTCATAAAAATATTTTAAGAAAAACGTCTGAAACAGATCGGATTTCTTTATGATCAAATATATTCAAATAAATACTGTGTATTGGCTTTATTAGACCTAATATAATTTGATTTAAAGTTGTTTATGATTTTATGCACAATGAAAGAAAAAGTGAGCAAATTCACATACCCCACGCTCCCACAAAAGTCGAAGTGTTGAAATTCACAGAAAAAATAAAGGAATCGTAATTTCCTTGTAATATGCCCATATATACACATTGTATCCTAAATATCTGCAAAGTTTGACGAAATTGTGTGCAGCGGTTTATGAGGAATTGCCCTGACAAACTGCTCATCTTTATATTCAAGATATCGCCAAAATCTAAATGTAAAAGTGCGGAAATTCCCGAAAAAATAAAGATTTCGGAATTTCCTGGTAATGTGCAAATACAGACACATTGACTCCTTTAAATATCTCGAAAGTTCGACAAAATTCTGTGCGTTAGTTTATAAGAAGTTGCACTGACCAAAAAAAAAGGGCTGACTGATGGGTCCAAAACATTATACCTCACGCAACTTGTTGCGAGGGGTATAATAAACGAGTTTGATTCTGTGGTACAATGATAATGAAAATAGAATTTAATTTGAATTAAATTTCTAGACATAAATAATTAATGATTACTAGAAAAAGCAGATAAAATGAGAGAGGAAACCCCCCGCGAGGATTTCCGCATTCTTCCTACAATTACCTTTATAAATATTCTATTGTCTTTTGTACAGGTTCAGCATATACATGTAAGTGTTGGAACCGGGGGGTGGCTTTTGTACAAATATATACTTAGTATAGACATTGAATATTGCTGTGTAGTCCCCCCCGGGGGGTATCATTTAGTGAGCTCATTGCTCACAATACCTCTAGTTTCTCTTTCAATTTGGCCGTTTGGGTTAACTTCTCGTCCAAATTAAAATTATTATTCAATTTATGAAGTTTCGACATCCCGCCTGAAAAAAAAAATCCTTGATCTGTCCTAAAGCTTAATAAATGGACAGCACAAAGTGCATAGGATCTTATACCTATTATTGCTCTAAGAGATGGCTACAGAGTGAGAGAGAGAGAGAGGGAGAGAAAGAAAGAGAGAGAGAGTTCAATATACAAAAGAGTAAATAAAAATTATCCGTATTCAACCAGTGTCAAGATTCCCTACCCTAGCTTTTAAAATTATCTCCCAAATATTTTACAGAAATTATTTTTAAATATAAAAAAAAAAAAAAAAAATAGCTAGACTATCAGGCAGGGATACAGAAATCTCGAAAGTCTCTCTTTAACACCATAATTATAAAACATTTATACATACCTCAAAATGCACATACATTTCAAAATTGAATTCGGCAGAGATGTCTGTCTTCCAAGAATATTTAGATTACGGTCATGTCAATTATTTTTGCACCCCCCCCCCCCCCCCCCCCCCCCGCCTAAAAAATCAAATGCCTAAATGTCAATCTGAACAGGGGATGGCATTTCTTCGTGTGTTTGTGTGTTAAAGAACGTATAGATCTATGTACACATAAAAATTGTATTTTGGTTAATTGCTTTTAAGATTTGAAGTAAATAATTACCGTACATCAAATTACTTGGTTTAGATTAGAGATTAGTACTATAATAATCAGTTATAATTGACAAATGAATTTTGCGACGCAAACCAACTGCAGACTATATACATGACTTTGTATAGAATGTATATTAGAACTACATGTAGATAGACAATTCAGTTATAATACCCCCCCCCCCCCCCTTCAGCCGTGCAAATACCAAATAACTTCGCTTTCCACTTGTGATATTTTCCCTGACCAAAATCTGATCAGCACGGACTAAGTGTATCGACGTGCTTGTCTGTACGGAGTAATGACAGTGTGTTTACTATTGAACTTTTACGGAGTTTATTTCTTTTTTGTGATGCATATTTCAATAAATGGAATTCAGGGTGTATATCACTTGACTTGTGCACATCTTCGAACCGATGCAGTAACCTCATTACCAGGTATGGGTACGTTTACAGCGTTCGAGGCGTTTTCTCGATATGCACCAATTGCATAGGGGCTGCAAATCAAAGACGTTGGTTGTTTTGTGCCATTCAAATGATAATAATTTTAAAATGTGTTTGCAGATTTTACTGCTTTTTATTTCAAGTTTATTCTGCATAAATTGGCGCACTGTAAAAATACGTACTCGTGCATCTAAATTTCTCACCAAACTTGCATTTTTTTCTTTTGATTCAAATCAATAATTATTCAGAAATATGATTATTACTTTGTTTATAGTGGTTTTGAAATGTCTTGATCTTCTTATTTGTTCTCATATATGCTTTACCATCGGAGATGTGCACAAGTCGATACCCAAACCAAAAAATCATTCAACTGTAACGAGCGCATTGGGGTATACATCGTTACAATGAGACAAGGTATCTGAAAGAAATATGGCGGAATACGGCTATCGTTGGTATGAAACAAGTCGTACATAGATGAAAATGTTGCGTTTTTAAGAATTCATGTCAGCTTTAAACTGGAATGGCGCTTAAAAAAATGGAGGTACTGTGAGCACTGAGCTCACTAAATGATACCACCCGCCAACAATAAAGGCGAAGTCCAAATTTTGCTCTGGGAAACCTGAAATAAGTGTCAGGTCATATATGGCATTATGTAATAAAGAATCTGTGAAAGTATATCATTAAAGTTTATTCAGTGGTATAGAATGAGTTGTAGATAAGAGGTGGGTACCCTCCAATATGATAGAAAGAATGGCCATGTCAATGTTTTGGTATCGTAAACCCAAAGTATGTGTCCGATTAAAAAGTAAAACAGGAGGTCACCTGGCGTAAAAACCTCTCTCTCTCTCTCTCTCTCTCTCTCGTAAGAGTGTGTGCGTCTTTGTGTGTTTTCAAAACAATAACGTAAAACACTTTAAAAATTTAAGAAAAGAACTGCAAATTCTGTCTCGAGAGTAAAAAAAAAACAAACATATATTTCCTTATTAATGAACAAACATATCTTCTACATTTGTGACTTGTCCCAAGGCCCGCAGGGAGCGCATTTTAACGTACATGTACGACCAGTTAACCTATTAATGTTGTTGGAGAACGAAGCCCTTGTACATTCCGCTTACTTCTAATATACGATTTACAAAAAAAATGTTCTTTTTATTGAATCCTCCACCAAAAAGGGGTAATTATTTTTGGAACAGTTGATCTCTAAGTAAACGAATGGGAATGCATGTCGGGATTACGTATGATTAATTTGAATTACAGCAGAAATTTGCGCAATTTCAAACAAAAAAATTCATAGAAATAAATAGCGTGCCCATATTTACAAACCTCACCTGTTCAGTGTGTTCACACACATTTCTGATGAACAATATCAGAGTCAGGAACTACTACATTAACTGTCCCATATTACAGTCTGTTCACATGTAAACAATAACTTATTCAGTGAATAACATGCCGGAAAACTTACTATATATAGACTAAATTATGCATGAAACAAAGCTAATGATATACATCTACCAGCTGTTTAATACGAACCTACCTTGAATTTAAGATGTCGAGTCAGACGCGTGTTGTCAAAGAACTGCGTCACGATGCATCGAGTGATGATAAGGACGTATTATCGCGGAGACTTGGCGTGGATCTAACAAAAATCATTTTATTTTAATATGGGAGCAAATATTACAAACCTATAAATAGTTTTTAAAAAATATCAAAACTGTGTTGTATTTAATATAAATGCATTGCTCTCATTGACCCCCTTTTTTCTGTGCTTATTTTCATCTAGGACTATTCAGTTTCTTTTGTTTCCCACAGGTGTTGGTTTCGATTCAAGACTCATGCGAAATATTCACAAAAGGTGTTTTTGTAAGTACATTGAAATAAATCCAAAATAAAACAGATGTAATTTTTTTTGTTTGATTCTCTATATATTTTATATAAGGTTCAAGGTAAAATTTTCGTATTACCTCCAAAGTCAAGGTGATGCTAATTCTCGATAAGGGCTGTGTCTTATCACGAAGTCTCAAAGTTATTATTTAATAATTCTATTTCGGGATAAGACTCAAAGCTTTATCTCAGAAAAAATTAGAAACCCAAACATTTGTCTCGTTGGTCGTAATTTATCCATGCTAGGCTGTCCAAAGTTATTTCTATGTTTAATAATAATAATAATAACTCACCCGGGTACTGAAGTTTCAGAGAAATAACCAAAAAATGTATTTAGGCCATTTTAGGGTTGCTTTTAATTATTTTCTGCATTCAATGGGAACAGGCAACATTTATGGGATATATTTGAGGTACTGACACATTAACTAGAAAAGATTAATAAATATAATTTACCTTAAAAATGCATAAACAAAAAATACATAATTATATTCACAGTATTTAGATCCGTATATGCTAAAGTACATGTAATTGTTTACTCATTTGTTTTATCCCCCCTTTCGTAAATTTTGAAATTTTTATGTGACGTTAGACGTAGAACTAATTTAGTACATAATTTATTTTCATTCTTGATATGCATCTTGTATAAATCACTGTGGCTACCGTATATACTCGCCTATAAGTCGGTTTTTTGGGAGTCAATTTCTGGTCCAAAACTCTGTGTCCGACTTATAGGCGAGCTATAAAAAGAATGGAACTATATGAGGTCAGTCCATCTGAAATATTAGCTTTTTAAATACAACCGACTTATAGGCGGATCGACTTATAGGCGAGTAAGCCTCTTTCGATAACCTAGTTACCTCCCCATAGGAACTCTCTAGTTTTGGAGGTTTATAACTTCCGGTAGGTAAAAGTTGCTGATGTAGGGACCAAGGACGTTGCTAAATCGTTTAAAAATGGAGGCCTTTGATAAAATGACAAAGAGACAACTAATTGATTTTCTTAAAAAGTGTAAACAACCAACTTTTGGAAACAAACCTGAACTTATACAGAGAGCTAAAGGTGCAAAGGACTTAGGATTAGATGTAGACCACGACGACGTCGATTCGGGAGATCAGCATGCACAGCCACAGGACAAAATAATCACACCGCTTGGGGAAGGAATACCAGTACCGTCAAAGCTAACGGAAGGCTGGGTGACTAACTGCGAGTATTTTCCAGACATTACGGAAAACGAAATTTACAATTACCTGGTATTAAGTAAACGTACCTTTGATTTAAACCAACAATCTGCAAGGCGACAACTTAAAGCCAAAATATTTTATGATGAAGGTCATGTACAAAATATTGAAATTAATCTAGTTACAAAAGACTCTTCACATTGTATTATAAAATGTGACTGCTTACCATCAATTCCAACCAAAGACAAAAGTAAAAAACCTGCGTACAGGTCTTGGGTTTGCTTGTCTAAAGTCACTGGTAGAGTCCACACAGCAGAATGTAACTGTGTTGCAGGGTAAGTAAGTTTTATAATATAATCATGAAAAGTACATGTAAATTCTTGATATTAACATGATTAATGTAATAAGCTGATAAGCTAGAGCCACTGTGATATACTGAAAAACCAAACCTAGCCCTTTGATTTTTTTTTTAAACTGCTCTTTGTAACATTTTCTAATGCATAATATCAAAGTATGCCTGACAGGTAAAAATGTGTTCAGTACAAGTAGGCCTACATGTGCATGAAATGTCTTTGTACATTAAATGAGAACTGTTTGAAAAAAGTACTTGTACCAGGTGTCTTTTTTCTTGCATTTTGCATCAGTTATAAAATTCAACATACTACCTGTACTAGCACTTTGATGTTTTAATGATTATAAATATAAAAAAAAATATTAATAATTTCTTTTTTTTCACTTCTAGAGAAGGGGGTGCTTGCAACCATATCGCAGCATTGTTGTATGGAATTGTTGACATAACAGTAAAAAAACACACTGGTAAAATTGCCCCAACTTCAAAAGCATGCGAGTGGATCAAACCACGTAGCAGAAATCTTTCACCAAAAAAAGCGCAGGACATGGATTTCAGCAAAACAAAGACAAAGGGGAAAAACAAACCATGTTCATATAGTGTCAGTGAGAAAAATCCAGACCTAACCTTACCATCTGTTCAAGTTTTTAAAGAAAATCTGACAAAAATAAATCCAATGGCAGGTTGGCTAAAAAACTTTTCCACTACATGTATTGAAACATTACCCCCCACTGCGAAATCAATACCTGAACTTCACCATATAACCTTCTCTTACATGGACAATGTTGATCTTTTTTCGGATGAATGTAAACAACAATTTATGCAGTATTTTGGTTCACTTCAAGTCTCAGCAAAAGAGTGTGAAATTATTAATAAAATGACCAAAGGTCAACACATAAACCCAACATGGAGAGAAGCTAGGCATGGGAGACTAACTGCCTCAGACTTTGGTAAAATTGTACGGAGAAAACCAGAGACTTTACCTGACAATTTACTTAAGTATATTCTTGGATACTGTCCATCTTTTTCAAACAAAGCAATGGAATGGGGGAGAGAGCATGAAAAAGTTGCCATCGACTGCTACCTGCTCAAGGTGAGGGAGATACATCCACCACTTACATTCCAGGAGACTGGACTAGTTGTCAAGGAATCGCTACCTCATTTAGGTGCCAGCCCCGATGGACTAGTGTACTGTCCTCACTGCAAGCCTTACCATGGTGTTATTGAAGTAAAGTGTCCGTACAGCTTTAAAGATGTGCATCCCAAAGAAGCGGCCTTAAGTAACAATTTTTTTTGTATCTTAGATGAAAATGGAAATTTACAGTTGAAGAGAAATCATGCATATTATTATCAGGTTCAAGGGGTAATGGCCATCAGTGAAAGAAAGTGGTGCCACTTTATTGTATGGACCAATAAAGGTCTTGAATTTGAAAAAATTTTATATGATGAGGAACTTTGGGAAAGTGAAATTCTTCCAAAACTTAATTCTTTTTATTGTTCTGCAGTATTACCTGAGCTTTTTTCAGACAGAGTTAAAAGAGGTCTTAAATTAAAATTTTGATGAGTACTGACATGACACTAAAAGTCTCTAAGGCCATAATAAAAATATTCCTAGATTCTCATTCCTGCCCACCCAGATTTTATACCTCCGCCTCGATTTTTCTTAATTTCTGTTTTTCTTTGTCTTAATTCTCTAGGGATCAGTATTTATCTACCATTCTACTTTTGTTTTAATCCTGCAAAAGTCTACATGATTTTGACAGCTGAAAAGATGGTAATTCCTGTAATATGGTACATGCATTTAATATTTTAAACAAAGGTCATTGGTTGAAAAAGATTGGTGATGATGTGAAGTAAGAGATAATTGAACCTTTACTATGACTTTTATTCGGGTACTGTAGATAAAATTACACCGATTGACCTGGTCAATAAAAAATCTGCTGAAAAAAAAATTAAAATAAAAGCTGCCCACGGCTTCATTTTTAAATAAATTCGGATGAGAATCTAGCAATTTATTTATTATGGCCTAATAAGCATGACCAGGTATTACATAACTTAACTGTGCATTTAGGGTATGTGTACATGTACTTTGGTATCATAATCAACATATTTTGTAATACTTGTGAGTATCTGATCAATAAATTTATAACAGAGTACTTTATGTTAATTTTCTAAATGTAGGTACATACATTACAGTACCTCATAATCATGATAATAAAGTAATAAATTTTACACAAGACCAAAGATCATTGCAATGATACAAGGACATGATGCATTTGTTTTAAAAACTTGATTCATACAGTTACTTTAATAACAGTCAACTGAATTGATATATTTCTGAATCTTTTAAAATGTAGAATTTTAAGATTTTCTGGCATAAGAAATGGCAGTGCAAATGAATGAAGTCATTCTGGCTCATCATTGCTATGACCTTTGGAACACTTGATTTCTTACTTGCTCATGATCGACATACCGAATAAAAATAATGTAAAACATAAGTAGATTTTTGCTATTTATTAAATGGTATAACTACTTAATAACAAGTTTTCCTCTACATATGTAGTATTTTGCACAATGAAGTACTTAATGCTTATAGTTATTCTGAGAGATACATTATTTTTATGATTTACATAGTAGATTATACTATGACTGAATAAGTGGGGGCATGAGATTACAGAGAGCACACACAACAAACACTATTTTGGACACTTTGTCGTGAAGTGATATTGGAACCACACCTTGAATAATTTTGAAGTTTTTTATTCGCTCCATTGCTCGTTCCACATGGATTCTTAAATTTGCAATCCTTCTGGTTTTTTCCACTTCAGATTTAGTTAGCCTACCATGTTTCTTTAAAGGGGGGATAATGAGATGAATTCCATTTGGAGTGCATAGGTCAGCAATGAGGAACCCTTTGTCACCCATTATTGCATCCCCAGGTTCACATTTTTCAATTAATTTTGACAACTTTGTGATTTGTTTGTCTGATGTACTTCCAGTCCATAAATCGGAGACATGTGTAATCACTCCACTAGGGCTAATTCCAATGAGCACCTTCCATGTCATGTGTGACTTGTAGTCTGAATACATCCTTCCTTTGTTGGAGAGTGACTGAGGTGTTTCTGTATAGATCTCAGTGCAGTCAATAATAACACGACAATTTGGGTACCTTCGTTTAAAACTGTCAGGCATGTTTTCTTTGATAACATTCCGTTCTGGCCAAGCCACTAAAAAGTCTAGATGCTCATACATCAAATCTAACCATTCATTAAAAATTTTACTGCAGGTTGACACAGATATATTAAATCTTTTAGCCAAATCTTGAATTAAGAGTCCTAACCTTAAACGCATTAATACCATTAAAAACTCATCAATATCTCTCATTTTTTTGGGTCTTCCTCCAGTATCAGGAACTGTACATTTATGAAAGTCTGACAGATGTTGGAATAATAGATAAAAAGTCTCCTTGTTTGGCAGACCAGTATAAAATGATATATCCTGTTTCAAGTCTTCAACTGTTAAAAACGGTAAGGTTGTACCAGTACTTTTGTCACATAATTTTTTTGAAGAGACCATATTACTCCCACATGTATCAAGGTAACTTTCAATAGTCTGAATACAAACACTGTCATTCTGTTGAACATCAGTTTGTGTCAGTTGATTTTTCTGATGAGATAAGGTTGATGTTTCTATCAATCCACAGTAATCGTGCATTAATACGGATGTGTCCAATACAGATTTGTTTGCATCAACTGTAAAACTAGGGTTTTCAGCAGAATCGGACTCTGAGGTCTCTGAATCTGATCTCACTGTATTTTCTTGTTGATTGTCATTTATTTCTTTTAAAACCTCCGTTGTTTGGTCAAACTGAAAATAAAGGTCTTATATGTGTAGTATAAGTATCCATACAAATATGGTGTACATCATTCAATAAACTAATTAGTTGTAATGATTTTTTCTCAGCCTCAAGGAAATATGTCTATACTACAAGTGTAACAATAAAATTATATACCAGTTTGTGGTGATACACAAAACATTGCACCGTATCATTGTACATGTACAAAATTGTACACCTGTGTATCACGATAAATGACGCATTATAGGCAAATAATGAAGTTCTTTTACTTTAACCTAATAAAACTGATGATCTTTATTTACTTCTGATATTTATTTACTGTATTCCGAACTTATTCAATTCAATGATACATAAATATATACTGTAAACTTTATCAAGTTTATGAAAAAAATCTACAATCCCCACCCTTCCACATAATAATCTGATATAAATAATCTGATATAAATAATAAACAGAGAAATTCAGTTTCTACTAAATACCACAGGGAACATAAAATTAATATCAGAATACATAGGCCTATCATGATACAACCTCATTGTATCACTATACATCATGGTACGCTGCTTTTCATGCTATAATCGAATCATTACACCTTGACTTGAAACTGGTAAAAACGTCCTTGATTTTATTTACCCAATTCTGATAAATAAAAAAAAATACATACGTTTGTAGTCTTAAATGTTTTGTGATGAAAAATAGATGGTAATGGATGCTCCTTCGTCGGACCAGACAGCGAGATGAAATGCTCGGAACATAGTCTAGAGCAACTTGTTGGCTTCCAATTCTTGCGGCTGACACGGTTTTTCCATATCATTTTATGTTTTTTATTAACTGGGAATCGATGTAATGTCACTTTTCTATCCTTAATATTTTTGCCACTATAGTTGTGACAGTTCGTGGCACAGCAGTATAATTTCCCCATCACCAGGATCACAAATGACAGAATTTATTACTTGTTTACAAACACGATCTCTTTTTTTTACCTACCGGAAGTACAAATAGAAAAAATTCTTGCATAGAAGAGTTCCGATTTTCAAGAAAGATAACCTAGTTATAGAAAGACTATGGACCTGGGGCCTGTTTCACAAACGTTTCTTAAGATATGTCGTAAGACATAACTTAAGATATGCCTAAGTTATAACTTAGGAAGTTCCTAAGATTTGTCATATCTGTTTCACGAAACAATCTTATCTTAAATTTTTCCTAAGTTATTTCTTAAGTTGTGCCTTAAAGGACTAAAGAAATAACTTCGTCGCTCTATCTACAACTCTCGATATGTCAGTATGGCTTATATTTTTAGCTTCAAAAAGGGGGGGGGGATTTGGGATTGCCCCCACTTTCAAAGGACTTGGACAGAAATATGTTTTAACTTTGCGAAGTTTGCATGCTGCTAAAACTAGGCATTCACAGACACACCCTTTCAAGCCCCTTCCCTTCCGGGCATACGATATTTGTATTTTTTAAACATTGTTCTACGTGTTATACGTTTACTTTATTTTGCTCTTTATAAGGTATCTACTTGTAAATGAAATTCAAAAATGATTGCTTCGTAGCGAACACATTTGATTGCATTTTTTTTTTAATCTTTGCCAATGACTACTCCACGTTAGTTGTTCGTGCTGTGTAAAGCTTTCTCACATACAGTGTATATAAAATAAGAATGTCATGCCACAAAAAAAAAAATCCAAAATTCTCGACTACAGATATGAAAATACTAAAAGAAGAAGTTAAGGATACACCAAAGGCTTTTTTCAAGATTTTTGTCAATTTTGAGATTTTTGGCTAAGAAAACAATGCTAATCACTGCTTTACAATGCATGAAAAATTTTGGCTGATTATTAAATGGTTTTCTAATTATTTAACAATAATCAAACATAAACACTAACACATGTGAATGTGCCGTTATTGAAGCTTCTGATTTGGTCTGTAACTGCCTGCTTCTGAAAGGAGCAATAAATCACTGTGACCACTTGGGGAATTCTTCACTAGCCACACAGAGGTTATCAGTAATTAAACTACAGGGGCTCTAGATTTAGGGAAGGAGATCTAACAGGTCACTAATGACCATGAAATAAGAGGTGGAGCTCAGCTCTTGCCATTTTGCCGGGAAATCTTTCTGATTGAGAATTGAACCTATTTTACTCCATTTAAAGCACCTAAATAAAGAAAAGAACCTCCCATTCTTGTGAATATGCATAGGAAATATGGAAAAGTGACATGTATCCAAAGCTGAATCTCCAAGGTGTCATATATTTCTAGATTTGGCAGACTTTGTTGTGTAATGGGTTTTTGCCCTCTACTGTAAAGTAAGATCAGACAGTTGGTGGTATTATTTCAAAGGATTCAGCTCCCTTATTTATTGACCAATTTCTCTGAAAACTGGCCAGAATGCGTCTCAAATGTGTGTTCACAAAACCGTATCTCAGATTTTTGATATCTTGCTCAGTTCTCGAATTATTGGGGGAAATGCAGAATTGGGATAATAAATTGGTAACATTGAAAGACAAATGGATGTAACTATTGAATAAGAAGATTTATCAAAAATCTGAGATACGGTTTTAAAGTTCAATCTTTAATCTACATTGAGGCAAAATTTTGACTTTGAGAGGTGGAATACAAAAAAGTTGATTTATAAAATATAAATGCACTAATATTTACATTAAAATATTAATAATTCTTTAATAAGATAAAAATGAAAATTTAAATTAGGATCATTAAATAGTAAATTTAACAAGCTTTCAAATGATATATACTTTTAATATGTTATCTTTGTTAATAAAAGAATTACAAGCAAATTAAATTTTGCCCTTTGGAAACCTTTGGTGTATCCTTAAAAAAGGAAATATATTGAAATCTCATGCACATATTTAGCTATACATTGTATTAAGCGGAGAGGTTGTAATTCTCGTGCCGTAGGAACTGGAAGAGCACGGGAGGGGGGTGGGGGTGGAAATTATAATTTTACCGATGTATACAATACTATAAACAACAAAACTGCGTTATGATTGTGTTCCCTCAATAATAAAGTCCTATAGGAGATTAGATGCAACCATTCTTGGGAGAAACATCTATATACATCTGTATATCCGGAGCTTGGTTGGGGGTTCATCAAGAATCATGTACTTAAAGAAAGTAATCACGTGTTTCCATTAAATATCTAAAAACATCATTTTTCAAATTCTAATTTAATATCGATTAAAATACTAGTAATATATAAATAAATATGCATGTACATATAGATAAAAACATATTGTATATACATGCAAGTATAAAAATGGATCAAATCACGCGC